GTAACTTATTAACTATAGCACAATAAATGCAGACAGGAGTTGAACCCAGGTAGTCAGCTTAAAATCTTCTCTATTGCTTTTCCAATGATTAATAATAAAATGTTCTTCAAGACCCATTTTTCTTTAGAGAGAGCCTAATCCTGCAACATCATTTCTTACTTTTAATCTCTAACCAGATAATGCAGTACATTGTCTAATTATCTTAGTTGTAGAATAAATAGGCTCTCTCCCAATAGGCTTACCAGTATAGTTAGGGTCTGGCCTGAAGTTTTCCTCTTTCAAGCACACACCACGAGTGGACCATTTCAAGGGGATGCACCCTTGATTAACCGCCATGGCAGTTTATTATTTTATAGTGAAAAAAGCAAATGCATGGTTTCAGGGACTATGTCTACATGAACAGTGCATTCTCTTCCTTCAGACAGTACCACCCAAGGAGCAAATCATCACTAGGAAGTTACTCACAGACCTTAAAATCAAAACAAAGAGTAAAGTAATTAAACAAATTTGTCTTTTACTGAAATCAGCTAAATTTGCTGGATGCATCCATCTCCAATGATGGATTGTTATGCCAGATGTATTTAAAGGTTACTCTAACTTCGGGCCCTCCCTGGTGGTGCAGCGGGCTGGAGCACAGCACTGAGAAGCTTAAGCCACTTCCACATGAGTTCCATCCCCGCCTTCCCTGGAGGAGATCCATATGGCAAGGCAGACCTCTCCTGACCTGCCCGCTGCTCCCCTCAGCAGTGTACTTCATCGACCTGCCTGTTCTGCTACCGGCTCTGTCTCTGGTGAATCCTCTCACCCTCTGCATCTCTGGCCTGTACCCCAGTTCTGTATGAGTAAATAAATAAATCTTAAAAAAAAAAAAAGTTACTCTAACTTCACTGAAACACTCTTCTTAAACTCAGCAGCCTGAGTGGAAACTATCAGTATTTGTCTTTGTTAGTCTCCATTTTCTATATGAGGCAAAGTGAACTAAAAATTTCCCCTGCCCTCCTAAGTTGTTTGGGTATCATCCCATTAGTTAAAGTATGAGCAATTCTTCAAGGATGGAAATTTCAGGCAAGGCATTTATCCAAGAAGAATCTACTAATAGGTAAAATATTGATTTTTCATGTTGACTTATAGATTCTTGAGAAAAAAAATTATTCCTTGTGGTTAATATGCTGAATTTCAGGCCTTGAAAAAATAAAGCTCAGTAGCTCCCATCTTCTTTACACCTCTTGGTAGAATCAGAATTTTCTTTTCTACTCTTTTCTTCAAAATTGGAGTGTCTCACTTCCTAAAGCAAGCTATTAGGCAAAGCAAAGAAGCAACTGCAAGCTTTTTCAAATAATAAGACATTAAAAAGTATTTCAAGAGTGTGGGGAAAGGGGCTGATCCATTATAGAGAAAAGTTAGTAAGTAAAGAGTTAGTGACTACACGGAGTTAGTAAGTAAAGAGTTAGTGACTATACAAGAGTCACGAAAAGCCATCATCTTTCTTATCACTACTGGAAACCTGCAAGAATCCCATTATTTCACTGTAAACCTCCAAATCTAAACAAGTAGGTAATTGCTTTATCCTATGATAAGTATAAGCTGGATATCTATAGTGGAAAATACAAAAATCAGGTCCTGAGCATGATGTTAAATTGCCATCTGAATTAGTTAGTAGATAACTACACAGAACTTCATCAGGACTGTGTGTAGTTTGCCTCAAGAAATCCTGAGGAGGGTTAGAATTTGGGTGACCGTATAGTATAGTCACTATTTCCACCAAGTTATACACAGGCAAAAACACAGCGCTATTACTGGACTTTCTTCACCCTGTTCTGTAGAAACAAGCCTGCTCTTAGTGGTCAAAAAGAGAGAAGCTGTCAAGTTTAGGTAGATATGATGATTGACTTACGTCACCTGTCTTTATGACAGGTGACTAGATTCTATAGATCTGCATGGAATGAAATCCACTATTTTGATATAAGGTGATTATTCTTACATTAAATGCTAATTTCAGAACTCAACTCCAAGATGACAATCTCCTTTCCCTTATTTTTCAAGTTCTTGTAATAACTCCCTCTGCTATCTTCTGCCAATAATTCATTTGAATTAAAGGCAAGGCTTTTAGAATATATTTACTAAAACAAGGTCATGGTTGGGTCAGTAAAACATGGAGGCATAAAATTTACTGTGACCAAATTCACATGCTACGAAAGACATAAATATTGAGGCAATGTGGGGAACCTTATCCCATTTTAAAAGATTTAACTTAAAAAACCTTCCACTGAGCAAATGTTTTAAAGTGTAGGTTAAGATGAATCCAGGTAATCAAGAAGTCAAAATCAAAGGTATCCAGCATTTTCTCATACCTCTATTTGTCTGATGCCTATGACTTGAATTGGATAGATGTGTGTCAGCAGTCCGCCAGTAAATAAAGGATTACAGAAATGCCCTCTATGATGAAGAAACAGTCACTATTATATCTATTACGAGTCTTCCCTTGTTTTACTCTGTTATAAGGTCATTAAGTAATGTGTGAAAACAAAGCACCTAGACTTTGTTCTTTTGCAATTTCCCTATTTCAGAACATGTCTTAAGCAACATGAGATTTAATCATGATAGAATGTTTTAGATGTGTCATTACTCACTTGCTACCCAACTGCTTTCCTAACTTTGACTTTTGAATTTTCTGGATCACTCTAGATCATCTGTTATAATTTCAATAAAATAATAGATGATTGGTAACAGTTGATACCGTATAACCTAAACTTTTTTGAGGACTAAGGAATTTAACATGGTTAGGTCTTTATGGAACCTCAAATGTCCATTATATTTTTAATCCCCGGAAAACATTTTTTGAATAGAAGGTTGGAGAAGTGATTCTCCCACCTGCAACTCTGAAGAAAAGTTTCCAGTTTTATCTATGTTTTTATTTTCTTCTAGTGTCAGTGATGATAAAATGCCTAAGGATCATACATTGAGAGTATAGATAAGTCACTTGAGTTGTAACACTCTTTCAAATGGCATGCAGCTCATCTATTCCCATGAATGACAGTGTTGTCTATTATTTACTTCACATTGTAGAAATATAATCTATGCCAAAATTACCACAGGAATAATTATTTGAAAGCACATGTTCTGCTCCTCACTCTGACTCTCCCGCACCCCCACCACAGACCTGTGTCCCAGTAGTTGTATGCATAAATAAGTACATCTTTTCAAAAATAAAATCCACAAGCATTTCTTAACATAAAACATTACTACTTAAATGTTGCCAAATTTAACAAGAACATTCTTTATGGCATTCCCTTCTTTTTCCCACCAAAACCCTGTCATCTGGTAAGTGCAAGGGTTATCATCCATTTATTGATTAAACTCTGCAACTGAATTTCTGGTCACAGAAGAAGAAATGTGGGCACATGTATTTCAGTTAAAAGTGTTTTGTGGGCCCTCCCTGGTGGCGCAGCGGGTTAAAGCACAGCACTAAGAAGCTTAAGCCATTTCTGCATGAGTTCAATCCTGCCTGCCCTGGAGGTGACCACACGGCGCTGCAGACCTCTCCTGACCCGCCCGCTGCTCCCCTCAGCAGTGTACTTCGTCCATACTTGTTTCATAATCTTCAGTTTCTAAAAAGCTAAAACAAAAATTTTATTTAGACCACTGCCTTAGTGTTAACCTAAACAGGAAGCTTGAAAGAGGGCATACTTCTAGGGAATTACCTAACCTCCAAATCTTCAGGTTTTTCAGGGTTATCCATGATATCAATATTATGAAATTAACAACCTGGTAATACTTGAAGATATTATTTTGCTTTTAATATCTAGGAGAGGATTATTAACTAATCTTGACAGATGTATTTCTTCAGTCCTATTATAGAAAGCAACATATAGATGTGTTAAGCATCACACAATAGACTCTCAAGTCAATATTTTTTAAAGGTATTAGCAAAATTTGAACACTAGAACTAGCCTTCAGGGAGGAGGGGTTCAGCGTGTGAGGGAAGACTGAAAAGTACAATTAATTCATTTGATCTAGACAAGCTGCTCATCAAGAATATGGAACAAGTGTTTTTCAACCAAGGGATTTTCTACAGCAGAATTCTAGGTTGATTCCTTAACAAGAAGTCTGTTTCAATAGAACAAAAGCTTTAGCCATTCCACCAGTCTCCCTTTGGTAAGCCCCGACTTAACAAGAACTTCTTGTTTTTGCTTTCAGGTTACATTGGATTTAACATTATAATTAAAATTCCAAACACTCTAGCTTGATGAAAACAATTATTTCTAAGTCATACTTGGTCTATAAGGACTCTGGAAGCTTCATTTGAAGATACCATTGGTATATTGGACCACTTCTCAAAGAGCAAAGATCAGTATATGGCATTGTAGTTCGTACCAGGAAGAAACTGGTTAATTAAGAGTTCTGTTTTAAATGGTTGATTTCCATATTAACCAGGGCTGTGTTTAAAAAAATAATAATAATAATAACAATATGCATGCTTATTTACTTTTGGAGTTGCATTCCAATTTATATTTATGTGAATTTCACCAATGCCCAATTTTTTAAGCCTATGCATACTTTTTTAAATAGAATTATTATTGTATAAGACTAGCTTACTTCATTTTCTAACAGTTTACTTACAAATCTTAAGTTGTCTACACTAAACATTTTCTTCATTCTTTATTCTAGAAGATCGCAACTCTAGATTTATTTCATTTTTTATATTAATTTCCCTCCAGCAATAGAATGTTATAGAATTTTAATTGTATGGAAAATGAAATGAGTTTTATTTTAACATCCATATGACCCTTATGATAATGACTGACATGTTGAAATGTTAGATTTACCTCATGGAACATAAGAGGGAAAGAACAACAAAGGGTTACCAAAAATTACAGTTAAAAAAAAAAATCACCCATGCAGTTGCTGAAGTCATATCCTGACCAAAGGAGGAAGTGGTATATCACTAGGCTCAATCTATCTGATGCTGAACATCAGAACCTCAAACTGCTGGCTGTTCCTGCAACAACAGAAAGTATACTTATTTGCAGAGTCCTAATTCAAAATGCTGAAGAGAAAACCATCCAATGTTTCAGAGAAGGAAAAACAGCAAAAACCAAAGGTAAGGTAATTTCATACATAATCAAACAAAACCAAATCATGTAATATATTTTTACCTGTCAGTCATAAATTGTTTCAACTATAGGGTTAAATATGTCATGCACATATGGAAAAATTTGAGTGACAAAGTTAGGTATTAAGTAATACCTGATATGTCTCTGTAGATTTATTTTATGGTACATATTTGATCATTTTTATCTGAAACTGAAGTTTTACCACAATTCATCAATTTCAGGTGAATCAATTTGGTGGCCTCTATTTGAAGGTTGATATTTTGAAATCTTTTTTAATGACTACAAAGTTGTCAGTGCCTACTTAGCAGTCAAATTAATGCATTTCATCTGTTAAATGTTTGATCTTTCATAGCATACTAAATTACGAGAAGGTGTTAAAATGAAGATGATACTTTTTTCATTTTTTTTTTCATTAGAATGTGGTAGCTTGCTTCACAGACTATTTTTCCTGGTGCCTCTGTTGAACAAACACTATTACTACAAAAGACTGAGTTATGTTTGGGGAAGCATCATAACTTGATAGATTTGTTAAATTGGTTCTACTTGGAATGTTATTTTATTTTTTGCCTTGACAGTAATTACCACTGAAAGTAGGGCATGAGATAACAATATATTTTCTTGTAGAATTCTAAATTAGTTTCATTAGAAACATAAAATGAAATAAGTAAATAATGTTTTAATTTGTTTGTGAGTAAACAATAGCTAAGCTCAGATGTCTTTTAAAGGACTGATTTATTATCCATTATTGGACTTTATTTGCTTGGGCACCCATTCTGAGACCAAGGAATGAAATCAGTTGTGAACTTTTGATTTGTAGAATTGAATAGCTATCAATATTTAAAACCCTCTTTGCAAGTTGCCCTGAAACCTCTCTAGGAAAAAATTCTAAAAGTAATTTAATTCTTTCTCCAAGTAGTTTAATTCTTTCTGATATAAGCAGCTGATAAAGGACAAACAAGCATCTTTAGTTAAAAATGCAGCCAAATAACATTTCTTTTTCCCAAATGCAATAAAAATTCATGGTTACACTTCCCAGTATGTACAAAAAAAGTTTTGGAAAGCACCACTTCTTTAAGATTAATTTTATGCAAATTTTACATGATGATACAATCAATATTTAGTCCATGAAAGAAGGCTTTAGGGCCATCATAAGCATTAACATAAGTCAGAGGTTTTCACCCAAATATTTAAAGTCCAAAGTTAGTGTAACTTGCAAATATTGCATTATGTCGCAATTTACGCTCCTATTTATGTAATTGAACTATTTTCATAATGCTAAATTAAATTTTCTCTGTCCTCAGCATTTGCCTCAGTGTAGGAACCATTATAACACAGGTAAAATATTGTTCATCTGATGACTTCCTTATTCATAAAAGTAGATGAGTATTTGACAAAATATACATCTGGGGAAAAAATACAGTGCAGAAAACTGTCACACTGGACACATTAGCTTTTATTGCAAATGAATTGCAATTTTCTTAGAAAAAAGTTATCTTTCCCCATGAATTTAAAGAGATTTGTGAGTATATATATATATATATATATATATA